GGTTCGATTCCCGGTCAGGGAACACTTGTTTTATTAGCGTTTGGTCCACGTGGCAGATAATGTGATGTAGCCCGTGTGCACTTTGTGATCCCAAATGTACACCTCATTAATTTGTAACTGGTCGGTCTGGAAACAGCCTTATTCTACATTTGACTACTGTCTTACAGGGTTATATACTTATAACCCTGAGTATATACTCAGTCATAATGACAATGCATTATGTCTTAAAATAATAAATGCAGTATTAAAGCTACAAGCAGCCATGACCGGGCCCTGGATGGCAACACCTTACGAGTTATCAAAGGTTTTAATCTTATACATCGACATCAGACAGTAAATGGTGAAAGCTTTGATTTTAGCAACTTGAGTTTTTCTTAAAATTCAAAATGCAATTTTGTGCCAAATATTCAATTTGTAGGAAACGGTGTTTCCAATTAGTCTTTCTGAAACAGCCCATCAAACATTGCTGGAACACTTTTCATCAATGAAAAAAGCCAATAATGTGTTTTTTTTTTTTTTTTTACAGTTAACAGGAATCTAGTATTCATTTTCTGTCTGAGTTTTGGTTTTAGAGCAAAAAAGGAGATATTGGTGTAAAATAAAGAACATTTTATGCGCCACCAAATCCAGTTTCAGCGACTTTATTTAATATTAGTCATGTTTAATTAAGTAAATTAAGAGTAATATGTATATATTGACCAAACACCACTCATTCATTTAAAGGAATGCTTTATTGATATCCAAACATATACAACAAAACCAAAAAAACAAAGTGTTTTTAATTAACTCGCCATAATCTTCCAAATCTGATCCCTTTTGATATTCTACATCAGCCCATCCCAGGACCTAAATAAAGCTATAAGTACTCTACTGTCCTCCAGCCTCTGCAGCGGCTGGCTCTGAGCAGGCTCACCATTGTGCTGCACTTCCCATTGGCACCCAAAACAAAAAGTAATCATCCTTTTTCATCATCAGTCTCCGAAAACCGATTGCAGCTTTACACAAACAGCTACACTGCAAAAAAGAAAAGAAAAAAATTACATCTTAAGAAGTCATTTAATCCTTCAAATCACATTTGTCTTGCACAAAAGGGAGATCACTGCTCTACCAAAGCGTCAACTATGAGTGAGTTTCTCCACTTTGTGTAAGAGAAATATGGTTTAATTCTAAAGTAAATGAGCTGAGATCAATATTTCTTGCAGTGTGCGTCTGCGTTTTTTCATGTTGGCGAAGCAGGAAAGTCAGAGACTCCATGAGATTCAGAGGCAGAAAGAAAGAGATTCTGTAACAGATGTTTAAATATTGGCAATTTGTTTTTAACTGATGGCAAATCATTTATACAAATAAGAAATCTTATATAATCCACCTCTCCGAATAGACAGAAAGCCAAAAGAAAACATAACAATTCACCTAAGAGGAATATATTAACTACCAAAATGAGCAACACAAACAAAAAATACACTTATGATACACTGGCACACTCGTTTTGAAGCAGTTTGACGGGAAAGTTTTTGTTTGTAAGTCGGTGTATTTTCATTTCATGTTTGTTCATCTTTTAATATATTCGACAAGCAACTTTAAACCACACGTGACATTTTGAGATGGGATACAAGAGCAACATTTTGTAGTTGTGATGGGTGAAAGATATATTTGGCAACGTGAGAGGCAACATTCAAACACCTTTTAGTGCTTTGAGAAAACGATGAGCCTCAACAGCAACTCAAGATTGACGAGGATTTTGGCTTTTTTTCTCCACGAGTTGCCTTGTATTTTTTTTTTTTAACTGGAAAAACAGCAGTGTAACATTTTGTCAAACCACCAGAGGCGATGTTGCCCTTGTATCAGCAAAAAAATAATAAAAGTATAGAACATGTTAAGGAGAAAAGTGACAGTGCCTTCAGATTTACTGTCATTGTTTCTGAGGCCCTGGAGTTTGTATTTATCACCATGTGGTCTCTGAGGGTGCAACAATGATAGGAGCAACATTGAGTTTGTACAAAACGTTTGTGTTAGTTTGGCCTCGTGCAGCGTGTGTGTGTGTGTGTGCGATTAGGGCATTTAGTAGCATTTAGTGTGTGTTAAAGGAGTGCATTAAGGGGTTGTTGGCAAAGTTTCTACTATGGCAGCGAGAGGTTTTCCATGACTTTTGTGGCTCGCCGGACTCTAAATATCTGAATGCTAACTCCCCTTCCTTCAATCAAACCAGTCTGTACAACTTGAAAAGAAAAAAAAAAGGAACATAAATGACATTTCTTTTCTACCAGCTAAATAAGAATAACAGGTGAACCAGTTAAAGTGAGTAAGGCCGATAGAGAAGCGTTGACATTCACCAGGTAGTGTACACAGCAAAGCGTCGTCTCACATTGAGTGAACAGCAGTCAAACCAGGCTAAAAAGCAAAACACAGCCAAACTGGTTTCAAATCATTTTCGACCCTCGAGAGTTTGACTTGCAAATGGCGGCATTAACATGTCGCAGCAGCACATCTGAGATCAAACGCGCCTCCAGTTTATCAAATGAAACCAGTTGGATTGTGTTCCTTATTGCCTCGGTCTGATCCGTCTTGTGCCCACACGGGTACAAAACGACTGCAGCTCGTCAATGAGTCAGTTTCACAAACGTGGGAACATTTTTATTTGTTTATTTTAGACCATGAAGAGAAGAAACTCCTGACAGACAATAACTCGTCCTTGTGAAACTGACCCACAGTGTTTCTTTGTTTTCCACATGTTTTAAGTTTGTTTATCCTCCCCCCGCTTTTTCTTAAACCTTCCAACCTGTTTGCTACCATTCAGCAGCATCAGCGACAATATATTTATTCATATATATTTATACATATTGATAAAAGTTATGTAAAAACATTATGCAAAGCAGTGTAAAATAGTTTTAATACAAAATGGTTTAAGGTTTTTTTTGTCTGTTTTTACATCCTGGGGTGTTTTTTTTTAGGGTGTTACACGAGACCTCGGTCGTCTTTGCATGATTGGTATGGTACAACTGAGATGAGATATGCACATGCATGTAGCAGTGGTAGGTCTAAGAAGGGTGAGATGTGCCGGATCCCGCCCCCCCTGCCTGGCCCCCCCACCCTCCCAATATAACCACTAACTCTAACCTACGAGCGTACTTCACACTGCTGCCGACTGCAGAGCTGTGAAGCAAACTGAGGACGAGTTTGCGAACAGGGCGGGGTTACTGTGGTGACACTAGCGTTTGCTCACAGTGTGAATACATTATTTAAAGTACATGATAGCAGTCGGAAACAAGAAGACAGAGTTAGTAGGTGTAACTAGCATAAAACCACCATTTTGCCTATGCCCGTAAAAAAAGGTCCTCCACCTTCATTCTGCAGACATCCTGGTTCCTAAACTCTGAGTTGGGGCCCAAAAATGCACCTGCAGGGTTACTTTTCAATGCATGACTGCAGCGTATCTTTAAGAAACCCCAATCCCAGAATTCAGTGTGATGTTTGGTTCAAGAACCCGACATCTCATAATGCCTTTTTAGCCTTTGTTGTTTTTAAGCCAAGTGGTTTTCTGAAACAGTAAGAACCTGTTTAAGAACAGGAGTCTGAGGAGTGCAGGAGAACGAAGGAGTGTGGCTCTAACTGGGGAGGAAGTAGAGGCAGGAGGTGGACAAAGCAAGGTCTGTAAATTATTCAGGTTTAGACATCAACAAAACATTTTTCCTTTTCCTCAACGAGGGCAGAAGAACGGAGGCCGTGGGACCGGCGGCGATGGGACTGGAAAGGCTCGTCCCACCTCCAATCCCCTACGCCTCCGCCTGTCGGAGTTTACAGACCTCGTGGGGGGGTTGGGGCGCAGTGAGTGGTGGCGAGTCGGTGAAGTGGAGGGTCAAAGGTCAGGGCTGACTCAGCGATGTGAGGTGATAACAGTACAGTCTCAGGTCGTGAGGAAGGTGGCAGCGAGGAGGAGGAGGAGGAGGGATGCGTTCAGAAAGGCGGGTTCTCCTGAGTGGGGGTGGTGTCAGTGGGGGAGCCGACGGCCTCCCCGTTCCCTCTGGGGCCGACAACTTTATACTGAGAGAGAGGAAACAGACCAGAGTGTTATTGATTATCAGCTTTAATATCGGGACTCAACACACTCTGTTTCCTGTGGATGTTTACAGTCGCGGTAACACACTTTGAATACATTTAAAATCCATCAACAGGTCCCAAAACCACAATGTATAACACATCTAAAGAGGGTTTTAGTATGCAGTGTGTCACACTAGGGTTGGGCAGCTGGATGAATGTACTGTACAAGTCCATCGCTGTTTTGTTATTTGGAGAATTTTATGGTCTGCCTCAGAAGAACAAGAACCGCTGCTCAGTGACAGACGTTCACAGAAACATTACTCGCACTGAGTGAGAGGTACGAGTGCCAAATATGTCACTTCCTGACCCAAAAACAAAAAGACGACCAGTGGGACAGAGATTATAGGCAATTATAAACATTATATTCCATTCCATTTATCTATTTCATTATCTATTTTCTTTTCTTAACTATTCCTACTCACGTCGTTTTGTTCATTTCATTCTTTCACATTGTTCTGGTTGTTACAAATGTCATGCCAATAAAACTGAACTTGAACTAAGAGGAAAAACAGCTGTAGAAACTGAGTTCTGGGTTTATTTGGAGCAGTTTGACCCAGGTAGAGGTTGGTTCTTTAGAGAGGCAGCGACAGCGTGTAGAGCCGAGCACAGTGCATACACGCGCAGATATATTGGATTTATCCCCGGTTGTTGGGCTGATGGTGGTAAATATTAACATAACGCCCAACACACTGGACTGAAGCTGTTACTACTTACTGCTCACCTTCAGGTTCCCCATTTTATCCTCAAATGACTTGAAGGTTGCAGAGTTCCTGCAGATCAGACATAAAATAATGTTACACTCACACAAAAACACTCATCATTAAAGGCAATGGTGTCTAAATTACACAAAATGATTTGCTAAACTTGCACTGAAAAGTATGTGTGTATTTGCTTATAAGATGGGTAAAGCCGATAAAAGAAAACACATTTTAACTGATTTCATGGTTTTCTTCTCCACTGCCGTACTAATACTGTAGTAAACATGCTCCCTGTCTAATCCTGACACAACATGCTGTTTAAAGTGCAGAATATGATTTAAAAATCATCATAATGTCCTGTCAACTGAGGGACACACAGGGAACCAGAACCTTTAAATTATTACATTATAAAATGATACAGAAGACGACATAAAGGTAGCAGCACTACAGGGCTTAACATCACGACAAATAATGAACTAAATAAGCAAAATGCTGTTTCAAAATTTTGAGATTCTCTCAATTCGTAAACAAGTTGACAAGATATGACTTCTCACTGAAGGTTTCATTTTATAAATTGGCTTTGAACAGAAGATAAAAACGTCTTCCTCCACATTGTGAGGACAGTGTCCCAAATATTTTGTCCACTCATGATTTTAACTTTAAAAAGATCTCACGGTTAAGAAATCTGGAGAGGAGAACAGAAGCATAACAAGCACAGACATCAACAGATAAACAGAGAGAAAGAGGTGATACAGTAATAAAGAGAGTTACACAGAGTTAAAGTGAAGCAGTAGTGACAGAGAGTACAGTGAGCAGGTTTGTGTGTTACTTTACCTCATGGCGGGCATACTTATCGAGTGGCGAATGGAATAGTTGCTACTTTGTAAGCGTTAAAGAGAAGAGACAGAAGTGCAAGTGTTATAAAGCAAGCAGTGGCGCGCACGCACACACACAATATGAGTTATTAGAGTGACATCTGCTGGATCCACAATGCTGTAAGACTTCTCAAAACAGAGAGCACAACATGTGTAAAGTATCATTCACATACGGAGAAAGTGTCATCTATGTACTCCCTGATATCATAATAATAAAATAAATAAATATCGAATTATAATCACTGAATACTGTAGAACTACAATCATTTTAGGTCCAGCAAAATCTGGTCTATATATTCGATTCAATACCATATAATAAATCAAATATATCACATCTACCATTTCATAGCAATGAGTACGATAATCACGATCGCTCATACAATATGGATAACTTTCTAAATGATAATTGGAAGGTGTACCTCGACAGTAATGATAATAACTTGCTGAGTTGATGCCCTATTACATTAATTTGTATCATTTTGGTGTATCAGTATTGATTCCTGTTATTACCTAATTATATATACATCTATCCAGAATTAAATGTTCTCTAAAGTAGATAGACAAAGAGTAATTAATACCAAGATCCATAATCTATGTGTGTCAATATATCCAAACGCTAGTACTATTCAATCAATTGACAGATACGTGTTTAATAGTAGCCATGTGAAGCTCTCGTAGAGATAAAAACAAATTACAACTCCACACAAAACTCAGCACTTCAACTTGTGTATCTAAATCACCAGTTCAACATAGACATTAACATGAGTGATGTGTAGATGATGAGATAAAGATGTAGTGTATGTGTTGTGCTGTGGTCGTCTGTGTCTTATCTATGTGCGTGT